GCCTCTGACTTCTTTCTTTGTCTTGGGAACTGGCATCTCTTGTATGGATTTCACTTTGGCAGGGTCCACTTGGATACCTTTGTCACTCACGACGAAACCTAGCAATTTTCCAGATCTCACTCCGAAGGTGCACTTGTTCGGGTTCAACCTCAGCTTGTACAACTTCAGACGGTCAAACAGCTTCTGTAGATGGTCAAGGTGTTCCTCCTCAGTTTGGGACCTTGCAATCATATCATCGACGTATACTTCGATCTCATGATGGATCATGTCATGAAATAAAGCAACCATGGCACGTTGGTAGGTTGCCCCAGCATTTTTCAACCCAAAAGGCATGACCTTGTAGCAAAAGGTGCCCCACTGAGTAACAAAAGTGGTCTTCTCCATGTCTTCAGGAGCCATCTTGATTTGATTATAACCTGAGAAACCATCCATGAAGGAGAATACCTTATGCTGAGCCATGTTGTCAACCAGAACATCGATGTGAGGCAGAGGGAAGTCATCCTTGGGGCTCGCCCTGTTCAAATCCATGTAGTCAATGCACATTCGGACCTTACCATCTTTCTTCGGCACTGGAACCACGTTGGCGACCCACTGAGGGTAAGAAGTCACTGCTAGAAAACCGGCGTCAAATTGCTTCATAACCTCAGCTTTGATTTTCTCGGACATCTCTGGACGCATACGGCGGACCTTTTGCTTTACCGGAGGGCATTCTTCCTTGGTAGGCAAGTGATGAACCACAATGTCGGTATCCAACCCAGGCATATCTTCGTAAGACCAGGCAAAGATTTCCATGTAGTCATGCAGCATCTGAATCAACCGTTGTTTCACACTAGACTCCAGATTGGCACCAATCCTGACTTCCTTTCTGTCTGTCTCAGTACCCAGATTCACCGTTTCCACTGGCTCTTCATGCGGCTGAATGGCCCTCTCTTCCTGGAGTAACAGTCTATCAAGCTCACCAGGCACTTCACAATCATCTTCACCTTCGTCTTCGGCTAAGTTGATCGGATTTTCAAAGTCATAACTGGCAGTAGCAGAGTCGTTATCAGTGAGATCCAGAGTGGATTGGAACCTGTATAGGTGAGTGTGTGTAAATATTGCTGTTTTGCAATATATAATAAAGAAAGACAAGGAGCGCAAGATTTGAAATGCAAAAACATCCAATGCTTTTATTAATGATATATGAAAATGACACACAAAAGCCCTCACAAATGAAGCCACGGTGCCCCGGGTAAGACACCGGGCCATAAAGGAATGATGAAAAGGAATGATGAAATAATGTTGTTTGAAGTTATAATGGTGCAAAATGGATGTGTTTTGGTGTTTCTCATGTTGCAATTCGTATGGGTATGTTTGGAATTGGTTTAGAATGAATAAATGCTGTCAAAAGTGCAGAATTTGACTCTGCAGGTCGTGGGAACCGGTTCCCAGTGGGGAGGAACCGGGTTCCACTGTGTGAATTTATAAAAACTGGCAAAAATGCACGTAGGAACCGGTTCCTGTATAGGTAGGAACCGGGTTCCCATACATTTTTCCACAAGCGTGATTTTTGAACTTCGCAGGAACCGGTTCCTGCATATGTAGGAACCGGGTTCTGCTGTAACTTTTTGAAAAATATTAAACTTTGAAAATTCATAACTTTCAAACTGTAAGTCCGTTTTGAGTGCCGTTTTGGACGTTATTTCTTAAATTTAATGCTCTATTTTATAAAATGAAAAGATTTCCTAAAACATGAAATTATTTTGAAAATGAGTCAAATCCCGGAATAAGTGATTATTGGCTAACGCACATGGGTGTGTATGTAGCAGTGAACCTGTGATGGATGGATGTATTAGTATTGTGTGAATGAAAGGCATGTTTATGTTGCTAATGATGGTGTGCATGATCGTTGAGATATCATGTTTTTGGTTTTGGTTCAGTTATGATAAATTGATGTATTTCATAGACTGATTTGATGTTGCATGTTAGTGATGTGTGTGCATATGCATTATTTTGGTGAAGTTAATTCCCATTGTGTGGAATTTGACTTGTATTGCTGTTAACCGATACCCGGGTGATGATGGGTGGTTAGGCTGGATTCGTGTCCGGGTGTTTATGGACGAATCGATGGTTGCTGTATCCATTTGATGATGGATCAGTGTTAGGTGACTTGGTCACGTGTTGGTACCACATGCATTGTGTCTGCATTTGTGTTTGCATGGAATTGTAACATGTTAGGATGTCTTACAGTGTTACAATTCTTTGGTTGATTATTGATTTGTGCATAATGACTTGTATGATTGGAACTGCGTGTTGAATCTGAATTTATGCTAAAATGGGTGAAATAATATGCTTGTGATATAATGTTGATTGAGAAGCTTATAATGCATGTTAATTATGAGAAATCTCACCCTTACTTTAACAATTTCAGATTAAAGTTAGCAGCTCAGGAGTTGGTGAGGATGGCTCTAGAGCTATGTTACTTTAAGTCCGCGTGTCAGTGTCGTGCTCTGATAGGTTGTAACACTGGGGAACGTTTAGTTGAGGAGTTAGTTATTATTCAATTGTTTCTTTGAATTTCATTGAGAATAATTATGTTTTGGTTTATTCCGTTTTGGTTATGGTATTTTTCCGCTGTGTAAGACATGGTCTTAATTTGATTGAATTATTTGAATAATGACCCTCAATGTAGCATGACTACTGTTTTATTGGAAGTTTTATTTATTTCATAATTGTGACATCCCTTGTTCCGTGTTAACTCTGATGGAATATTTCTTTAATCATTGATATAATTAATATTATTCGGGGTATTTTAGAAGGGGTGTTACAATAGTGGTATCAGAGCATAGTCGGTCTTGTCTTGTGTCGTTATCCCTTTTGTATGTGACTAGTGTAAGATGACACTGTCGATACTTGTGTGCTGATGAGGTTGTTTTGTAATGTTACAAGAACAATGGCCGGAAGAGGTAACGGAAGAAACGACGACGCTATTACTGAAGCATTGGGAATGTTGGCTGGAGTACTCGGAGGGAACCAGCAGGGAGCTGTGATTGGTACTGACCGACAATTGGGGAATTTTCAGAGGAATAATCCTCCGTTGTTCAAGGGTGCACATGATCCCGAAGGTGCTCAGAAGTGGTTGAAGGAGATCGAGAGGATCTTCAGAGTAATTGACTGTGCTGAAGGGCTGAAGGTGAGATACGGAACTCACATGTTAGCAGAGGAAGCTGATGACTGGTGGGTTGCTACCAGAACTGAAATGGAAGAAGATGGTATTGCGTTGACTTGGGCTGTGTTCAGGAGGGCTTTTCTGAGGAGGTACTTTCCTGAGGACATCAGAGGCAAGAAGGAGATTGAGTTTCTGGAACTCAAGCAGGGTAACAAGACTGTCAGTGAGTATGCTTCGAAGTTTACTGAGTTACACTACAAGAAAATTAGTGTTTAACGACACAAAAATTGCGACAGTTATGTGATAACTGTCGTAATTGACATATAGAGACAGTGTTTACGACAGTTGACACCAACCGTCCCTAATATTTATTTTGCGACGGTACATTTAACCATCATAATATTATTATTACGACGGTAAAACAACCGTCGGCCCCCATTTAACACTTTTAACATTGATTTTTCACCAACAACTAGTCACGACGGTAAAATTAACCGTCCTAAAAGGCATATCACGACGGTAAAGCACCCGTCGCACCCTTAAACCTTTCACGACGGTAAAATTATCCGTCCTAAAATTCATTTCACGACGGTAAAACAACCGTCGCACCCAAAACCTTTAAAAATTCTCATGGGCACGACGGTAAAACACCTGTCGCGGTAAAACAATTTTTTTTTGAGATTTATATAAATTTGATTTTATATCCATCATTAACACATTCAAATATAACATGAAATTAAAATTTAGATTTACAAATTATGAACCCTAAAATGTATTATCCAATGTCTAGTACTAAAAAAGATCTTAGAACTAAAAGAAATTAAAAAATTGAAAATTTATGAGTTCATTATTCTTCACTTTTATTTCTTTTCGAGATTAAAAATATTCCACAAAAATGCATTTGCACAAAGTTGAATGAAAAAATGATTCTCATTATAATAGAAATGAATTAATTATAATGATTTATAGTGCAAACTCAAACCCGTTCTTCTTCACACCGAAAGAAACCCGGAATCTCTTCAAATCGCTCATCTTCACACCAAAAAACGCACAGCAATGGAAACTACATCCTCTGTGTTCATCTCTTCAAACACAGTAAGTTTTATGTATCACTTTTTGCATTGTTCTCATCTCTCTCATTCTCTGCCATTGATTTCAGCATTGGAGATTCACTTGAATCTTATGGTTGAGCTCTTTGTGATGATTGATTTTGAGTTTGAATATATTGAATTGATGTTAGGTTTTCTAATTTGTTATTTTAGGGTTTTATTTCTTTTTATGATTTTTTAGGTTTTCTAATTTGTTGTTTTAGGCATAAAACTGATATAAGAGGACCATATACTGATCCAAATGGGATAGTAGTCGTTTTGCAATTGTAATAATAATATTGATATATCAGTCACTCCCCTTGTTAAGTTTCCTGGCTTTAGGACAGTATTTCGAAGGCACCAGGACCAGAATGAGGTTAAGAGGATTCCTAAAGAGGAGATGTTCCGATTCTCTCATCAGGCACCGTTTTTTTATTACGACTTCCTGTTTTTAATAGAAAAACACTCGTGTTCTTCTGTGATTTACGTGGGGTCTCCGCTTGGCAACTTTCACTAAGTATGGGTTGGTGAATGGTAGAGATTACATTCCAGGTATAAAGTTGGTAGGAAATGGTCAGATACATATTTTTAGTTTGATCCTGAGTGGGAGGAGAGCTGCTCAAGAATTTCAATAGATTTAGTAGGTTATTTAGAATGACGGGGAACAGAGACCATGTCAATAGGAAGATGAGGTGGTAGGATTTTGTTGGCTAACGTTTTGAAAATATGTTAAATGTTTGGATGTGAAATTAGAACTCGAGAGAATGCTATTCATTCAAAAGAGATTACCATATGAACAGGATCATGTCAACATAAATGATTCTTCAACTTGTGATGTTATCCGGAACAAATTGGTGCCTCATAAGGTGTTATTACTTGCATGGATCATGTCAACATAAATGATTCTTCAACTTGTGATGTTATCTGGAACAAATTGGTGCCTCATAAGGTGTTCTTACTTGCATGGAGGCTATTTAATAATAAAGATTCAGATGTGGAATTACTCAATTGAAATCCAATTTGTGTGCCAAATTGTGATGATATTCAAACTTTTCAATATTAATTTTATAAGAATTTTAGTGCAACAGTTAAACATAGCTTTTCCTAATGATGCATTCTGTTTTATTCACGTGTATAAAAAGTTTATAGTTTGATGCATCTTAATATAACATACCTGTCTAGATTTTAACTCCCTTGTAACCCCTGCTGTTATTGCAGAGGTGAAATATTCCGCTGCTTCTTTGGCTGCTCAAAGTCTATTGCTAAGGTGAGAATTTCATTTTCAGTGTTTATAGTTAATGGCTAGTTAACTGTATTATACTCATGCTCAAATCAACAAATTATATTTTAAATCTGGAAAGTCAAGAAGCTCTTCACCTTTTCGTCAATTAAGCAGCACCAGCTATACAAGTAGAGGTTCTGCTTGTAAAGAGACTGGGCACGTGCCGCATCAGAACTCTATAAAAGCTGCTGAATATAGTTTAGACAATGTGAGAGGTTGTGATAACTTAAACATTTCAGGAAATGATAAACCTGGTAGAAGCAGGTCAAGCCCTTTAAGGAGGGTGACACTGCATTGCACCTTGCAGCATCAAGAGGATTCAAAGATATATGTGAATGTATAATTGGAATGAATGGTGAAAGGAAGTATTTGATCGATATCGATAACAACAATGGAGAGAGTCCTTTGTTTCTTGCTGCATTGTCTTGGCAAAAACGAATGTTTGTTTATCTCTTCAACTTTAAACCGAGTAAGAGTGATTGCGATGTTGGTGGGAATTATTCTTATTCTAAAGATCTTATTAGAAGCAATGGAGATAGTATTCTTCACTGTGCCATCAGGAGAGAATTTTTCGGTAATTAATGTTTCTACTTAAATTGCATGTTTGCTTATTCCTATCGGATTCCACATGCATTTATGCAGAAACCTGCATGAAAATCTGGAGTGTCAGAAAAACTGTATATAAAATACTAATATTTGTGTATATTGCAACAGATTTGGCGCTTATAATTATAGATAAATATCCGGATCTTATTGTCATTGCGAACAGACATGGATTTAGTCCTCTCAAACTTCTTGCTACTAGGCCCTCAGCATTCAAAAGTGGATGCAAGATGATATGGTGGAAGAGGATTCTATACCACTGTAAGTGTGCAACATTTCAATATTGTGTATATTACTGTCCATTATGCATAGTTTTAATACATTTATGCATTACAAGGTATACCTGTGGGAATCCTGAATGTGGAAGAAGCTGTCAAATATTGTGCCATGAAACAATATGAATCAAGCTCACACAAGAAATGTCCAAAGAACTATGACACATGTTATCTCTTTCTTCAAAAATGTAAAGAGTATGCTTATCCACTTATACCCTTTGTTAAGCGAGTGCTAATGAAAGAAACTACTTCTACTGCTGCATATGGTATGTGTGAATTACATCTTACAGTAGCATATAAAACACATAACCCAAAAATGAAACGGTAGTTGAATTGCAGGATCTAAAAATATTGAAGAGAAACACAAAGTGTTCCAAAATTATCAACATCGCAATATATCAATGCAATCTAAACACAAACTTCTTCCAGAAAACTATGCTACATGTCTTTGGTTTATCAAGTTTGCATATATCTATACCCTTGGCCTTTCAGGAGTAGGTAATTAAATGTCTCGTCTTAGTTGATCTCAATGTTTGTTTTATTGTTCTATGGGTGATGTGTTCAAAATTTGTTAAAAGGGGTTGAAGAAATCAAAAAGATGAAACAAAAACACAAATGGAGTGGTCAACTATTGAACAGATTTATGGAGAACGCTTACGAATCGTATTTGGGAACCGGCACCAAACCAATACAATATCTGAGTGGAACAGATTTCATTTCTGCTTACAAGCCAAACCAAGGTATCCAATTCCAAACTGTTTAACTAACTGGTCTCTATGTAGTTTATTGAAAATAACAAAATGAAACTTGCAGGAGAAAATAACAGTGAGGAATGTGAACATATAATCCGTATAGCCAAGCCTGGTATGAGTAAGTCTTCTGTTGTTGATAGTGAAACAGGAAAGAGTTTTGACAGCAGGTTAGATTTCTTTTTTTCCCGAATCCAAAATTCTTTATCAACTGTCCTTTGAGCTCAATGTTATTGAATATAATAAATCTCATCTGTCTCGTTTGGTGCATCTCTTTTCTTGCTAACCACAGGGGAACAAACACGATCCGTGCCCAGCATTCAGCTTAACCCCTTAGAAAATGGTATGAGATCATTGTGTTAGGCAAACTGTTGTGAGAGTTATTCTGCCAGCCCATAATTGACAGTTAGTTTTGTAATGCAGGTACAAGAAGAAGCGCAAAATGGACAAGTAGAATTGGAAAAACATGTCATCACAAAGACATTGACTAAGCCATCTGAGGCATATTATGATGCCAAAAACCTGCCACATGTTCTTGTGAGTACAAAAATATGTTTTGTGTGAATCTTGCAGGCTGCTAGGTATGCGTAGCTTGGACCAAATGGTAGTCAAGGAAGGATCATGGTCCTAGCATGGAAGTTTAACACAAAATCACTTAACACTAAGGACTTTCATGAATTTTGTAGAATATTGTAACATTTTTTGTAATTCTCTCAAGTTGTAGCAAACCAATGTAAATATTAAAATGAAATTTGGCCTTTGATGATATTTGAATTTTTCTTGTTTATTGGTAAAATTTGCACTTCTTTTTACCTTTGATCACATTTTTTTGATATTATTGATGATTATTTGATATTAAATGTTTTTATTGTAATTAACTTTATTATGTTGAAAAGTGATAGAAAATAAAATAAAAATACTATAAATAAAAAAATATTAAAGTAAATAATAATTTAAATATAATAGTAAAATATTATAGTAAAATAATATTATATTTAAAATTATTTTACTAAATAATAATTTAAATAAAAAAATTATTTGAAATTTATAAATCAGATTACGACGGTTAAAACCGCCGCAATTTCTAACCTACGACGGTAGAATAACCGTCGCAAACAACAACAAAAACAAAAAATAAAGTCAAATTCACGACGGTATATAACCGTCGCTATCTGTTGTGCGTGACAGTTTTTGCAACCGTCACGAAATAGGCTGGGGACGCACGATTCTGCGACGGTACTTCTACCGTCGTAGATTGTAAATTGCGACGGTTTTAACCGTCGTAATCAGCCAAAATAACCGTTCCAATCTATCATTTTTCTTGTAGTGTTAGCGAAGTATTATGCTCATTATACTAACGATGCAGATGGAGAATTTTCCAAATGTATCAAGTTTGAGAATGGTCTTCGTGATGAGATTAAGCAGGGTATTCGGTATCAGCGTATCCGAAGATTTCCTGATCTGGTTGACTGTAGTAGGATTTTAGAGGAGGATCTTGCTAGCACTAAGTAGAATGCTCGAGGGTATGTTAATAGGAAGGGTAAGCAACAGATGGATCGTGGTAAGCCTTATGATAGAAGTAATCAGAGACCCGGTGGTTGGAAGAAGTTTGGTGGAGGAGATTCTAGTTCTTCCATTAAGTGCTACAAGTGTGGTGAGACAGGACATCGTATGGTGGATTGCAAAAGTAATGATAAGAAGTGTTTCAAGTGTGGGAAACTCGGCCATGTGGCCAATGATTGCAGAGTAAGAGTGGTGACTTGTTACAACTGTGGTGAAGAAGGTCATACTCGTCCTCAGTGTACAAAACCCAAGAAGGAGCAAGCTGGTGGTAAAGTGTTTGCATTGTCTGGGTCAGAGACTAAGCCAGATGATCGGCTGATTAAAGGTACATGTTTTATTAATGACACACCTTTGATTGCGATTATTGATACTGGAGCTACGCATTCTTTTATTGCTTTGGATTATGCTAAAAGATTGAATTTGGAAATTTCTAATATGGATGGAAGTATGGTTATTGATACTCCTGCGTCGGGTTCAGTGACTACTTCGTATGTTTGTAGGAATTGTCCTATTGTAATTTTTGGTAGGGGTTTCGGTATGGATTTAGTGTGCCTACCGTTAGAACAACTTGATATCATCCTTGGAATGAACTGGTTGGAATTCAACCAGGTTCATATCAACTGTTTTGCGAAGACTGTTATTTTTCCTGAAGAGGTTGGTGTCGAAGATGTGACTATGTCAGTTAAAAAGATGAACCTAGCTGTGAAAGATGGTGTTGTGGTATTTATGTTGTATTTTGCAATAGAAGCGGAGGGAAAAGCAAAGAGTGATGGATTTCCAGCGGTGAATGAATTTCCAAAGGTGTTTCCGGAAGACGTTAGTGAATTGCCACCTGAGAGGGAGGTAGAATTTACTATAGATTTGATTCTTGGAACTAGTCCGATGTCGATGGCGCCTTACCGTATGTCGGCATCTGAATTAGCGGAGTTAAAGAAACAGTTGGAGGAGTTACTTGAGAAGAAGTTTATTCGTCCGAGTGTTTCGCCGTGGGGTGCTCCGGTGTTGTTGGTTAAGAAGAAAGAAGGTTCAATGAGATTATGTGTTGATTACAGACAGCTGAATAAAGTTACAATCAAGAATAGGTATCCTTTGCCGAGGATCGATGATTTGATGGATCAACTAGTTGGAGCTTGTGTATTTAGTAAGATTGATCTGAGATCTGGATATCATCAGATTCGTGTGAAGTCGGAAGATATTCAGAAAACTGCATTTAGAATGAGGTATGGACATTACGAGTATTCTGTTATGCCGTTTGGAGTTACTAATGCACCTGGTGTTTTCATGGAGTATATGAACAGGATATTTCATCTGTATCTTGATAAGTTTGTGGTGGTGTTCATTGATGATATTTTAATTTATTCGAAGAGTGATGAAGAGCATGCAGAACATCTCAGAGTTGTGTTGGAATTGTTGAAAGAGAAGAAGCTTTATGCGAAGTTGTCCAAGTGTGAATTCTGGTTAAGTGAAGTATGTTTTCTTGGCCATGTAATTTCCAAGAATGGAATTGCTGTGGATCCTACGAAGGTAGGAGCAGTATCTCAGTGGGAAGCGCCGAAGAATGCTTCTGAGATCCGTAGTTTTCTGGGTCTTGCAGGTTATTACAGGAAGTTTATAGAAGGATTTTCCAAATTAGCGTTACCGTTGACTAAGTTGACCAGGAAGGGTCAGATGTTTGTTTGGGATGTTGAATGTGAGAAAGGATTTCAAGAGCTGAAGAGGAGGTTGAAAAGTGCTCCGATCTTGATTTTGCCAAATCCGACAAAGTCTTTTGTTGTGTATTGTGACGCATCATTAATGAGATTAGGTGGTGTGTTGATGCAAGATAAGTAGGTGGTGGCTTATGCTTTGAGACAATTGAAAGTACATGAAAGGAATTATCCGACTCATGATTTGGAGTTTGCAGCTGTTGTGTTTGTTTTGAAGCTGTGGAGGCATTATTTATATGGTTCTCGGTTTGAGGTGTTCAGTGATCACAAAAGTCTGAGGTATCTCTTTGATCAGAAAGAGTTGAATATGAGGCAGAGGAGATGGTTAGAATTTCTAAAGGATTATGATTTCGGTTTGAATTACCATCCTGGTAAGGCAAATGTTGTTGCGGATGCCTTGAGTAGGAAGTCCTTGCGTATGTCGATGTTAATGGTCCGTGAGTTAGATTTGGTTGAGCAGTTCAGAGATTTAAGTTTGGTATGTGAAACTACTCCGAATAGTGTGAAATTGGGTATGTTGAACTGACTAGTGGTATTCTGGAAGAAATTCGGAATGGACAGAAGTCCGATGTTGGGTTAGTTGATAAATTGACATTGATCAACCAAGGTCAAGGAGGCGAGTTTTGGATTGATGAGAATGGTGTTATGAGATTTGGTAATAGGGTGTGTGTTCTGGATGTTGCAGAGATTAGGAAGAGTATTTTGGAAGAAGGACATCGTAGTGGATTGAGTATTCATCCTGGTGCTACTAAAATGTACCATGATTTGAAGAAGTTGTTTTGGTGGCCGGGAATGAAAAAGGAAATTGCTGAGTTTGTGTATGCTTGTTTGGTTTGTCAGAAGTCGAAGATTGAGCATCAGAAACCGTCAGGATTGATGGAACCGTTGTTTGTTCCGGAATGGAAATGGGATGGAATCTCTATGGATTTTGTGTCTGGTTTGACAAGGACATCGAAGAATTGTGATTCTATCTAGGTTATTGTTGATCGGTTGACGAAATCTGCTCACTTTATTCCGATAAGAATGGATTATCCGATGGAAAGGTTGGCAGAATTGTATGTTGAGAAGATTGTGAGTTTGCACGGTATTCCTTCTAGTATTGTGTCGGATCGAGATTCGAGGTTTACATCTAAATTTTGGACGGGATTGCAAGAAGCTTTGGGTACTAAGTTGCGTTTGAGTTCCGCTTATCATCCACAGACAGATGGTCAGACGGAGAGAACGATTCAGTCGTTGGAAGATTTGTTAAGAGCTTGTGTGTTGGAGAAAGGTGGAGCTTGGGATAGTTATCTACCATTGATTGAGTTTACCTACAACAATAGTTTTCATTCGAGCATTGGTATGGCTCCGTTTGAGGCATTGTATGGTAGGAGGTGTCGGACACCGTTGTGTTGGTATGAATCTGGAGAGAGTGTTGTGATTGGACCGAAAATTGTCCAACAGACTTCAGAAAAGATTAAGATGATTCAGGAGAAGATGAGGACTTCTCAGAGTCGTCAGAAAAGTTATCACGATAAGAGGAGGAAAGATCTTGAGTTTAGCGAAGGAGAACATGTTTTTATGCGAGTTACTCCGATGACTGGTATTGGTCGAGCTTTGAAGTCAAAGAAGTTGACTCCATGTTTTATTGGTCCGTTTCAGATTACCAAGAGAGTTGGGAAAGTTGCTTATCAAATTGTTTTGCCGCCGTCACTTGCAAATTTGCATGATGTTTTTCATGTATCTCAGCTAAGGAAGTACATTGCTGATCCGTCTCATGAGATTCGGGTAGACGATATACAGGTACGAGAGAATTTGACTGTGGAAGCGGTACCTGCGAGAATTGAGAATCGAAAGTTGAAACAGTTGCGAGGCAAGGAGATCGCGTTGGTAAGAGTGGCTTGGGGAGGACCAGCAGATGGAAATGTCACTTGGGAGCTGGAGAGTCAGATGAAGGACTCGTATCCCGAACTGTTCGTCTAAGGTATGTTTTCGAGGACGAAAACTCTTTTAGTTGGGGAGAGTTGTGACACCCCAAATAATCCGATTATTAAATAATTAGAATTTTTAATTATTAATTT